CCAACTACTTTGAGAAACGGGCTTTTCAATTTAATTTGCGTATGTGGGTTTCGAGTCGAGCGATTGCACGTACTCAGGCCAAAGAGAGAAAGCAATGATGCAGCACGGTACCCTGGGTGCCCAAGACCCTATTTCAGGTCTTTATTGAGGTCAAAGGCCCGCATGTTTGATGCTGCTGCACACAAGCTCACGCTCAGCTCTGGCCCAAAAAGTAGTTATTATCTAGATTGTGTGGGGTGGTCTATCAATTTCAATTTTGGGTCGGGCCTTCATACGCCCAGCCATGCCTCGCCGGCCGTTGCCGAAGAATGTGCCTATGCCACGGGCGGAGACTGTGCCGCCTCCGGAGACTGAGATAAAAATACTGCCTACAAGTCTGCCGAAGGAGCTCCTGCGAGGTGTTCCGCTGCAAGTTTGCTTGGCGGGCTTCGGGAAGCACTGGGCGGCAAGCGATGCGGCAAGCTTGCGTGGTACGTCTAGCTCTTAGCGCACCGGAAACTCGTGTTTCGAAACTTGCAACTTCCGTTTTCAAAAATCACGTTTTGGCAGTACATGATGTACTACGAACAGGGTGTGTGTAAGGTAGTAAAGAGTATATATATATATATAGGTCTGTTTTTTTTGCCGTGCCCATTCTTTAGTCTACGCGGGAAGTGGGACCTGGGCGAGCCATATACCCCGAACCATACCCCCGATTCATACCCCCCAAAAAAAAACAAAAAGGAGTTTAAGAACTGCTGGCCTTGCAAGCCTGCTTGAACGCCTTGGCTAAGAGTATGCAAGTAGGGCCTGTTCTGCGGGCAACGCAATAAACTGTTTGTCCCCAAGCAGTGTTCTACACTAAGCGCCAGTAAAAGCTACAGGTTAGCTCACAGTTCGTCACGCGCCAGCTGACAGTTTGTATGGCGACGCACGCGCAATTGCATTTCTCGCGCGGGCTGCTTGATGTTTATCCCAAGTGCGCTTTCGCTGCTGTGTCAAGGGGTGGACTTGCGCGCTCGGCTTTGGTACGTGTACTGCCGCTCCGGCGCGGGTTGAAAAATTACCAAGAAGGCTTGAAAACTCTGTGACGGACATCTCGCCCCTGCTGCTACGTGGTTGAGAGTTTGACCACTAACCAAAACTTGCTGACTTTGCGCGGGTTGACACGCTCTGCTTCACAGCTTCACATGGCGCGGGCCTGTTCCAAGTGCAAGGGCGCTGCCGCTTGCAGCAGCCCCGCGATTCATACCCCCGATTCACACCCGATTCATACCTGCATCCTTCGAGCGTGAATTGTTTCGCTCTGCTTGCGAAGTCGAGGAGCGGTGCCAAGAGCGGCCTGTGCTCGAAGGAGTGGCGAGCAAGAAGCCATCCTTTCATTGGCGGGCGTGCCAAAGCAAGCAAGTTCTTGTCAGCGCCTGGAAGGAAGCTCTGGGGCCCGCGAGGAGGAACTGCTAAGCGAAAACAGGGTTTGGCCGTTGCCTGGCGACTGGGCTTCGGTGTGCCCACGGCGATTTAGCCTGACGCAGCTGTCTAGTTCACCCCGTTCTTGGCAGCGTCAGAGGCTAGCTGTGGCAACTGAGCGGTTCGGTTTCTTGCGGCCATCTGCACGGCAGCGTAAACGGGAATTGCAGCGCCCAAGGCCACAAAAGAAGAATTCAGAGCTGCGCGAGCCATACCCCGAACCATTCCCTCGAGTCATACCAACTTCCCGGCGCGGGCACGTCAAAAATATACATACCCGTATCTCTCTCTCTCTCTCTCTCTCTCTCTCTCTCTCTCCATCGTCGCAGGGAGTCTGCGTTGCGTCTTTGCTCCACCTTGGGAGCCGCAACTCCTTTCCAGACCCCGGCGCGAATGCCCCAAAAACAGATCTAGAGAAAGATCTACAGCTCAGCTTTTGCTAGAGATACCAAATATGCGTTACTTTGCACTGCCTTTGCGTCCTCCTGACTTGCACTCTTTGCTTTGCTATGGTCATCAGTGACCCATCTGAGCTGCGATCGCTCAAAAAGGGCCGTGCGGTGATGGCCATGCAGCGTGCTGTGCCCCAAATGATAAACAATAGCCACAACTTCATACTTGGAGTCAGTAGTGTCTTTACCTCCAGAAGTGAAGCAGGGAAGCTTGACGTCCCAGGGAGGAACAATGATTCATTCACATTCTTCTCCAGTCTTGAAACCGGGCAAGCTGCAACGCCAAAACGGCCGGCAGGCTTTTTCAGAGTTTAAGTCAAGGCCCGCTGTGAGAGGCAGTGGCCACAGGTGACCACAATCCATCACCTGCGCCGAAGTTTCGCGTAAAAGGGCTCGAGCCTCCCAAGCGCCTAGCTCACATGCTCTGAAGAGAATCGGCTCCTGCTGCTGGCCTGGATTGCGCCACGCAGAAAATGCTTGTTGCCAAGTGAATGTTTCCCACAAATTGACCGGCTTTTGCTGTGAGCTGTCAGCCAGTTCAGAAGCCGATGCACACTTGCACGCCCTCAGCAACATGGCCGCTGACCTGCGCAATTGCAAGCACGCAAGCATTTGCATATCAATGATCATTGGGGTTGGCAAGCTTGATGTTTAGCACTGAGGAGGTGTCCTTGCTCGACTGCGAGTTGCACGGGCATATAGGAAGTTTCGATTTTCCAGGATCCCCATTTCCTTTGCCCGGTTCGAACTCCGGATTGGAGGCCAAGGGTCTGCTTCCTTCTTCTGCTTCCAATGTTGACCAAGTTGGAGCTGGGGTTGGATAACTGATCGGCTGCAACGCTTGCTTGAGGATGGCCCTTGTGGCGCGCGGTGACAGGTCCTTGCCTGCAGTCAAGTTCTGGTCTCTGTTCTTGAGGAACAAGATGAGCTGCGTGTCCTGCTGGAGGATACTGATGGAGTCCTCCTGACGGAGCGCCAGGCGCCCCAAAACCTTGACCACGTTGCACATCTTGTTTCTGCTTGATTGACCGCTGCTGCTGCTTGGGCTTGCAGTGTGTCTTTGTGGACTGATTGCCCCTGACCTTTGCCTGGCCCCTTCTGCCACTTCATCTTGCGCTGGCTCCGCATTCCTGTGCGCATGGTTCTTAGTTGTGTACTGGGCCCCGCACCACGTGCAAGGATTGCCAAGCGACTACGGTTTTGTTGGCTTTCTGGATGTCAACATGCTGCTTTGCTGCGTGACGACTGATGTACATCGCACTGGCACACGCGAGTCCACATTCAGGGCAAGCAGGTCGAGTCATTGCTTCACACAAAGCTGCGCAAGGCGGCCCCTTTTGGCAATGGCAATAGTCTCACTGGCAGTGGTCTTTGCATAGACTGAAAAGAGTCTTCGGCGCGCCCCGACACGAACGTCCCAACAGCAACCGCGCCGAAGACTGCTCACCAGCCTCAGTGACCGCAATGCCTGTCGTGTGAAGAACTGGGCATGCTTGCTGATTGAAGTGGGCCATGAAGGCTGGCCAGCCACTGAATTTCTTGAAGCAATGTCGGCATTGGGGCCGGCCTGCTTCTGTGTGTTGCATATGCTCGTTTTTTCTCTTTGCTACGTGAGCATAGTCACAATGCGAAAGGGCTACGCTACGCTTGGGGTGGGATTTCCCAATATGCACGCGCATTGCATGGAAGCTGGCAAATTGCTGGCCGCACTCCGGGCATGCGCGTTGCACCCGTACAGCCTTGGTAACTCCAGTTAGCTCTGCATATAGAAATGCATATGTATATACATTTTTATACATATATATATATATATGGTCACCCCCCACCCGTGATCCACATTTTAGTGTGTTCGGCAAATCCACTGGAAAAAGCAGGTTCCACCACTGTTTGGTGATCTGTCTTGGGGCCCCCTTTGTTTTGACCCCACCCCACCAAAAAAGACATCCTTTTGATTGGATTCTAAAACTGGTGTCTTTGCTTGGGTGCGCATCAAACGGGTTCCAGCAAGGAAGACCCCCCTTTGCTTGGGTGCATATCTTACAGGGTTTCCACGAAAACAAGCTTTTGTCTAAAGCCGTGGGGCACTTTTTGATGGCCCCCTTTGCTTGGGTGCAGATCTAAACGACCCAAAGCCAGGGGACGATTCCACACGGGCGTCTAAAAATAGATTCCCCCTTGCTGGGGTGAGGGTTTTGCTTTGCTTGGTGCGTGTCTTACAGGGTTTCACCGAAAGGACCTCGTGCATATCTGACAGGCTTCCCCCAACTCCAGTTTGGGCAGCTCACCCTGGCTTGATTTGAGGGTCCCCCTTTGCTTGGGTGCACATCTAATGAGGTTCCACCAAAAGGCCTCCCAATATTTTGTTCTAAAGCGGTTTCGAGGGCGCACGTATCTCATAGGCTTCAACTGGTTTTGGGGATTTGTTTGAGGGTGCGGGTTTATCTTACGGGGTTCCACCGAAAGGGCTTCCTAAATCCAGTTCAGTTCAGAAGCCACGATTCGAGTCATACGTTCCGAAACACGTGTCGAAGCGCATTCGAAGCGCTACGCTTCATGGCTTGCGCTTCGGGGTTGCTAAGGTCTAGCTACTCCCTGAGCCAGGTCGTCACCTCGCTGGATGCGTTTTTGAGCCACGATTGGGGTACTTCGCGGTGGGCGAAGATGCTGGCCATGATGATCATCTTCAATTCTCGGGCTGCCTTCATCACCTCAATGCTTGCATCTTTGGTGCTAGCTATTTGGGCCTATTGCGATGCGCTCCCACGGCGTCAGACATGGACTGTGTGGCCCCCGCTGGTCACCTTCTACATGTTTCTCTTCTTCTGGCAGCGAATCCGGTTGCTCTTCAAGCCACCTCGAATGGTTTTTTTGGACAAGCTCTGCATCTCTCAAGACAACGACGAGCTGAAGGCGCAAGGAATCGCTGGGCTCGCCACCTTCCTCCTGAAAAGCCGCAAGATGACCATCCTCTGGTCGCCCCGCTACTTTTTAAGGCTCAAGCGATTGCAGGCCAAGGTAGTTCCCCCTAGGTGTTAGGTATCTTGGCCATAGGAGCGAAATGCCGCCGAGCGATGGTGCGGCCCTCGTGGCTGCTGCGGTCAGAGCGGCGTGCGCTGCAAAGGCGCCGAGGCGGACGGTGGCAGCGGTTGCTGCGGCCGTGGCGTCCACTGTGCTGCGGCCAGTTGACGTCACAGCTGCCCCGCCGACATCGAGCCCGACGAAACCTGCACGCGCCTCGGGTGGCGAGGAGGCCACTGAGGCTGAGCTGGTGGAGAGACTGCGCCAATCCCGTGCGGACAGGCGCAGAATCAAGCGCCAGCGGCGCCGGGCAGCAAAGGCTGCTGCTGCTGCGGCGGTGAACAAGGAGCAGTTGGAGCCGGAGTCAGCCTTGGGTGCCACTGTGGGGGAGAGTGCCGAGCCCAGGGAGGACACGGACATGGGTGTGGAAGAGTCCAAGCCTGGCGAGGTGGAAGCACCTTTGGAAGCCCAGGAGCGGCTGGAGGCAGGTGGCGAGGGCAGAGGACGGACAATGGATATGGGCAAACATGTGAAGGAGGCACGCAAGGCAAGCGCTTCGCAAGCATCTGCGTTGTCGGTTTTATCCGCCCACAGTGCAGAGTGCGACTGGGAGGATCCTCCACCCGCGCTCAAGGAGGGACCACCGTGTGACATGCGGGGGCGGCGTCCAGGGCAGCAGTCAAAAGCCAAAGCCCCAAGAAAGGGCGACCGTGCTTGCGGCGCAAGCCGCGGGCGGCGGGGCCCTTATTAGGTCTGCGTGCAGTGGGGGGCCGCCCTGCCCCTCGCCAACAGGGCAATTTTCGCGGCTGCGGCATTTTGCTGCGGCCGCCAGTCAATGGTCAGCGAGGGGCTCCTAGCCGCCACTTAGTGGTGCAGGCTGGTGTCCGACAACAACAACAACAACAACCCGCTACTTTTCACGGTTGTGGTGCACCTATGAGCCTTGATTGCTATTGGGTAGTTTTTTGTCAATCAGTGGGTTTTCCATTCGACTCACAAAAAACTTGAAGACTTTTGGCAGAGGGGTCAACAGCAACCGAGGAGCTTGCAACCTTCCTGAAAGGTGGACAGTCCAAAGAAATCGATATTTTTCCGGTGACGCTGGGATTTCAGCTCGCGTTGAATTGCTTGCTGGTGCAGTCTTTGTTCGTGGGTTGGACATTTACTGAGGCATGGCTTCGCGATCCAGGTGATTTGGAGTGGTATTATATTTTTGCGATTGTCTCTTCGATCGGTCTGCCGCTGGCTTTTGCAGTATGTGGATTGTTTTCCCAAATCGCAAAACAGCTGCTGCAAGACATTTCCCAGCTGCCGAAACAGCTCGGAAGCTTCAGTGTTCGGGACTCCAAGTGCTTCTGCTGTTCGAGCGACCACTGCCACCCCATCACAGGCGACGAGATCCTTTGTGATCGGCGTCTGGTGTACAGCACGATCAGCGCATGGTACAGCATCTCAGAGGAAGACGATCCTTTGTGCATCTTCGACGCGCGGGTGCGGACGCAGCTTGCTGACGTTGTTCGGAGGCAGCTTGGGCCAGGGCACCTTCCGTGGTCTTATCTCTGCTACATGGTTGGCAGTAGTGTTCTCTTTGGAGCCCCTGTTTTTTACAGCAGCAGAGGGTTTGGGTACATGATTATGGACGTGACAAAAATGCCCCTGTCCGTGATCCTTGCCTCACTCTGCGCGATGCGTGCCTGGCTCATCATCATCAGCAGGTGCCCCTGCCTTGCGGCATCCCGCACTTTCACCTGGCTGCTGCCTTTAGCATTCATGTGGTATCCCATTGCCTTCCTCTTCGTCTGGCATGCAGCTTTGTTGCTTATGAAGGGCTCTGTCGTTGTCGTGCCCATGACAGTGGTGTATTTTGCGATGGTGTCGCTCGGCGTTGGCATCACCGCAGCCCTGAATCGATGCAAGTGCAGGAGCGGAGGCTAGGCACGCAAGTAACGCGGGTCTCCGTCACCAGAACAATGCCGAAGCACTCTGTGAGGCATGAGCGCTTTGTGCAGAGTTTCGTGGGGTATTGGCTACCTCTTAGAGGTATACCAAATTGGTATTGAAAGCAGCTTGCAATTGTAAGCAGCTTTGTGGACCGCGTTCGCGAAAAGGCACTCTTGCATGCGACGTTTCGTGACACTTCGAACATCTATGGCCTGGTTTAAACCCCATGGCTGCATGTTTTCGGTTGCAGGATTCGGGTAGCCATGTTGTGACACAGCCGTTTCGGTTGTTCAGCGTTTTGCGTCCCCGTTCTGTTTGGTTCACGCATGGGTCGCCCCCTCACTGGGCTGGGAATAGCAGCCAGGGCTTCAGTTCATGAGTTGCCCTGGGGCTTGCAAAGACTGTTTATGTGTCTGAATTGCAGGCGCACTTGACACCCAGCTGTTCGATCCTGTTGGGGCTTAACCCAACAAGTAAATTCAAATCAGCTAGCTGTTAGTTTCTACTGTTGTACTCTAGTGGTTTAACTAGTCAGCAAACCAATAGTTAAACCGAGCAACAGTTACGCGTTGGACAATGCATTTTTTGCACCAAGAGAGCAATATAGTGTTGGATGATTACAAACCGAATTCTCTAGATGAACATGGAGCTCAAAACAACATTCCTCGTTGCAGGAATTTTATTGGGGGGGCCAGTGTTTGAGAGCTTGCCAGGGGGGGAATTCGACCTTTCTGTGTACGTTTTAAACTTTCAACAAGTGAGCCACAATCAGAACCCGGGTAGATGAAGGTTAGTAATTAAGGGGGCAGTCCCAGCCAGAAATAGTTGCGGCCGCCTTCTTAACTCTTTACATGGTTCTGGGTCGACCATTTGATACCCGGTTTTGATTGTGGCTCAGGTCTCGGATTCCTGTAAAACATGCTCCATGGCCTCCTTGACATCTTTCCGGTTCGATGCTCTCTGTTTGACCGGCAGTTGACCCCCCAACTTCCTGGTTGGCATCCAACCAAAATCGAGGCAGGCCTCTTCTTCAAGAGAGAGAGAGCGGCTTTCTTGCGGAAGGCAGTTCAGGCGCTGGAAGTTCAGCTGAAGAGGTTCCTGGGGCCGGCGCCCCAGCGGCGCTGCTGCGTTTTTTTTCTTTGGCATATGCGCGACGGGACGGGACGTGTCAGGATCTGCACTAAAAAGAGTGGTGCCTTTTGTCTGCTGTGGAGACCTCAGCGGTCCAGTCAGGATTTTGAGACGCGCGAAATTCTAAACCGAACCGGTTTTTTCTTGAGGCAAGCATTCATGGCACGGACTCCCCAGGCACCCCTCAAGTAATGTGAACCAAGTGTGAATAAACTGCCAGTTGAGCAAAAGGGAAGACCCTCATAGTCAACATATTGGTTTCGTTCAATCGAGGGTCCTGCCCGGTTCTGTGCAATGGTGCCTGCTTGCTCTCCAGGAGTTGGATGGGACAAGCGCCCGAAGAATGGAATGCCTGAAGCTTACGGCCCTTTGGGGGCAAGGGCTTGTGGCTTGAAGCGGAGCAACGGGTCCCTATATTTATGTTGCTGACGCACAGAAGCAAATGCTGCAAGTGATGGTTTAGAACCGCCAGCACCGGGTGAGAAGCTAGAGCTTTGAGCAAGGTGTGACCCAAAGCCGTTCGGGCACTGCGGAAGTAGGAGTCCAGCACTATCTTAGCTCTGTCCCAGACTGCCCAAGCGTGCGTTCTGAGGCGCGCATGCGTGCAGTCTTGACAGATTTTGGTCGGCGGAGTTTGGAGCAATGTGGCTGTCAGGGTGAAATGCAGGGAGCTGTTTTTGTAGGCAAGGTAATGACGCTCAAAAAGTTACAACGCTCACTTTGACCGTGGCTTGTGACACAAGGGCGCATGGAGTGACAAGAAAGCAACAGGAGGGTGTGAATGCAGTAACAGCCAAATTATGCGGTTGCAGCTCCAGAACTGGTCGCCCCCACTTGCATCGGAGCGCCTCGGCTTGCGTTTAGGTCTCCTTTGGAGGGCCCATGTGCTCTGGAGAAGACACGCCGGGCCCCCGAGAGGATTGGTGGCCTGCCGATGCCGGAATACTTGGGTTAGGGCCTTTTCCTTTGTTCGGATGCTTCAAAGATAAACCCAAGTAAATCCCCTGTAAACCGGGATCCTGGTTTTGAGAACCTTGTTCCAGCCATCCGATTTCCTGAAGCTCTTGGGAAAGCAAGCAGCTTTGGAGCATTGCCAAAGGCTCGTTTCTGTTCTGGATCGGAGCGGGACCAGCTAAAAAGCATGGTCCCGGGCCGCTGAGAGATATGTCTGAAGGGGTTTTGCCTATAAGGCGAGACATCCATTTACTGGCGCCGCTTCTTCAGTTGTTCCTTCCTTTTTTTTTTCCGGGCGCATGGTGGGAAACAATGTGGCATCCTCGTGGATAAAGATTATACAGATTTAGGGCCGTAGTAGCAAGCACAACAATAAATCTTAACATATTATGAATATAGAGTCTAGTTGTAAGAAATTATGATTACTAATGTTGTATTTCTATCTATCTCTATATATATATATATACATATCTATCTCTGTACACTGTATATATGCAGGAACAGTATGTATATATGTAGGCACTCCTGCAGGGGTCAGAAAGTATCCAACCTGGCAGCACGTGCATGATTTTGAATGCAAGGTCACAGGGCCGGTCAACTTTGCTGTGCCTGCACCGCTTGGAGAGGCCCGAAGCGAGCCTTGAGTTTGGCTTCGGCAGATTCAAGTTGGTGAGTCTCCAAATACTGTGGACGGACAAAATCATTTGCCAGTCAGCCAGTCAGCAGGTGGTTTATCCCAGAATTCACAGGGATTTGACCAGCCCAACTTGTTCAATTTGTTTCATCCATAGGTTCTACACCAAGTCGGTGCCATCAAAACGCGGGCAGGATCGGACATCCGCCCCTGGTACCTAGTGCCAGGTTTTTACTGCCCAGTAGACTGATAGGTCGCCTGTACCTTCCGCACATGGGTTGTTATTTGTTTTTCTTGTTTTGCTTCGTTGGTTGTCATTTTGAGTTGGGATGCCAGGGTTTCGGAAGTGTGCATCACTTGAGATGCCACAGGCGTTTCATCCAATGGAGGTACCAATAGGCACGCACGTTGAGCTGCTTGATGAGAAACATGCTGGAACACTTTACATGCAGGCAGTACCGTTTGGGCGACTTTGGCCACTCCGATTCTGTATTATTTGCACATATCACTTGTCTGAAGCGCATGCTCAGACCAGCATTTTCAGACTTATCCAACCTGGTTTTCTTACTCGCCAGCAGCCAACCGATTTGTGGCAGGGGGGCCATGTCAGGGCAAGCCCAACGGCTTGCGGGGCACCCCAACCGCCCGCCTTTGCAGGCTGAGAGAGGGAGACGAGGTCGTCAGTGGCAGCGGGGCTCAGAAGCAGAGCTGCTTTTTGTGTTTGGCGGGATCCCACTCAAATGGGTGTGTCTTTTGCAGGTTGGACCCCCCGAGGTTTCGAACCCTTCTAATTGGAACCACACCCAAGTTAGTCCTTGCCCCAAAGGATTACTTTCCGCGGGCATGGGTTGCCTTTTCCGCAGGTCAGGAGGAATCAAGGCTTTGAACGCGCAGGGTCCTACAACAAATATGGTCCTTCACAGATCCCTTGTGCACGACTACTACTCTTTTCGGAAGTGAGTTCTGCGCACTTCCCATGTTTGCTGGAGGGAAGGTGGGGGTGGGGTGAATAAGATGAAGGGTTCCGAAGGTTCTGAAACATTGGTTGCACATGGGGCAGAGCTGTCAGGCCAGGCGATGTTGTCCATGAAATGGCCTTTTGAAACGCAGGGAAGCACCTGCGCTGATGAGTGGCAAGCGCCCCACCTATGCAACCTTGATGGAAGAAATGTGGGAGCAGAGGCATCTAACATGTTGACAACATCAATCTGCGTGTTTGTGGATTCCTGTGTATATGTAGATGTATCTGTTTGTCAAGCAAAAGATCAACCAACAAATGCTTGCAATCAAAGAAGTCAACAGGATCAAGTCGGACGGCCACAGGCCTCTTCTTGCTGCCCTTCAGCCGTGCTCAAGAGCTAGTGGCCATGGGCCGGGCCAAGCAGGCTGGGAAGGGATCATTTTGGGGTGTGAAGTGTCTGGTGCCAAGATATTTTTTGAGGGGTGCTGAATGGGCACGTTTCGTTTGTGTGATGGTACCCTTTTTAACCTTTGGGTTCAGGAAGGCAAGAGGAAACAACCAATTGTTGGTCCGCTCCCTGTTTTGGCAAGTAACCAGGCAAGGCAGAGCCTTCTGGGTTCCTATCTGAGTCTCTCTTGCATTGGAACGTGATGGGCCAGTAACTCTCACAATGTTGGTTTATGTCAATTGGTAATTGAACTGCCATCCAGAAATCTGGCTTCGGAGGCCGGCTTGTTCCTTGCCGGCACCTGCGCATTGCTTCCCTCCGCATTCGCAGGCTCGACCCCGAATTTCCAGACATTCGCCCACCCTTTCCTTTCCGCACTTCTCCCCATCTCTCTGCTCTTCTCCGCTCTTCCTGCTTCTTCGCTCCGCTCCTTTTCTCCGCTCTTCTTTCCGCTGCCCAGACTTCGCTCCCGTCTCCTCTCCGCCCTTGGAGCCAGCTAGGACGTAGGGCTGCTCGAGTGGTTCCTCCCCTAACCTCCAAAAAGTCAGCCGAAGCTGCGCATCGACCTTGCTTTCATTTCCCTCCTTTGGCCTCAAGTTTTTTCCGGTCCCTTTAAAACACCCATTGTCTATCTCAAGAAGTGGGGAAAAATAAGCCCCACAGTGGGGTTGTTTGCTTGGTCCCCGGGATTTGGCGCAACCAAAGCACGCGATTCTCCAGTGCTCACGCTTCGGGAATCGCAAATCGTTGAATACATTCGGGGATCGCAGATCGTTTGAACTTGTTCTTGTTGTCATTGTTTCGTGCTGGCTGTAACCATCAATAACATGTCCAGCCGCTGTGATTTGAACCTATTTGAGAAGTGAATCAGGCAAGGAGCCGGCCTTCGGCCCTTCTCCCGAGTCGCGTTATTGCCAGGGGGACTTCCTCCTGCTGTCCGGGTACTGTGGTTGGGGCCCGGGGCAGCTGCAGGAGACCGTCGAGACCGTTTCAAACACCCGGGCCCCTGACCGGCGTTGGTTGGTCTAGGGAATATTTCTTCGCAATTTGTTTCCAAGGTTTAACTGCCAAACAGGTGATTGTTAGTCGTCCTTTCGTCCTGCTCACTTTAAGCTACTTGAAGTGGGGGGGGGCATATTTGTTCAGGCTGCCGCACTCAGGGTTGAAGAAGTGTCAGTTCCTCCTATTCGAGGACCACTGGTTTCTTAGAACTCGACTGGACCCGGGAGGCGGCTTTTCCCGGAGCCTGAAACTCCGATAAAGTCTGAAACCATGGGTCTCTTCCCTCCGGGATGTCTGAAAAGCTGCATTTCTGGGCAGTCACGCAACCCCGAATTGGTGGTTCGGATTGGTAGGAACTAGCCTTAGAGGGTAACTGGGAAACCACCCCTAACCCGAGCTCCAAACCGCCCAACCGCACCAACTAGCGGGGGAGCTCTCGCACGGCTTCGCTAGGAGGAGCTGCGGGACGGGAAGAGCTGGGTGCTGGCGGCTGCCGGTTGCAAGGCAAAGTGAGTCTCCAACATGTTTGCATGGCTTTGAAAGCTTGCTGCCCAAGTGACCATTGACTTAGGTCACTTTTCGGGGTTGGACCAGTTTAGTGTTAAACTAAAGTATGTTCAAAACAAATGTTTTTGGAAAAGAAGCGGCAGCTTCTACTTGACTTTGGAGGGGAGAAAATCCACGGCTGCAGTTACTTCAACTTGGTAACTTCCTCCGTTTTTCCGCTGTGTTGAAACAAGACAGTTTCCTTCACTTTAGAGGGGCTTGACCAACCAGAGGATATAAAGAAAAAGAAAACGTGTTCCCAGCACGGCCTGGTTGAACTTTGCATTCCTTCCATTTGCCAGGCTGTGCTTCCGAAGCCGCTGGGGCCCTGGCAATGAGATCGGATCCGCACTCGAGAAATCGGCGAAGAAGCCATGGGAGCCCGGAATGAGTTCCTGATAAAACCTCGAATTGGCGGGTTATTCCTCAAGGTCCGAACGCGAACAAACCCATTTTCTCATTTGATGATTGAAGCTGGCAAAAGCAGTCCCTGCTTTGCCCCCCCTTTCTCGGGGACCCCCTGAAGATGCGAGCGTTTCTATCACGAAACTGGGCAAGCGGACAACTGCTTCAAGGCACATCATGTGCAATAGGAGAAAATCCAAAAGATGCCAAATTCCCTGGGATTTCAGCCTTTTCCCTTTAGCAAGAGATCATGCATGTTTAGCCTGGAGCTTCCAAAATCCTGAAAAAGGCGAGTCGTCGGCTGACATTCCTTTTTCAACCAGAGCAAAATCAAGAGAAAGCCCTGCTTTTGCGGTCACGGCCTCGCGAGCGCACGTGGTTTTCGGCTCGCAGGCGCATGTAAATTTGGTCTCGCCCGCGCATGTAGAGGGCTGGATTTCGTGGCAGGTGCGCTACTTTGGGCAAGTTTTTCGCGGGTCTCGCCGGCGCATGTGATACCGCGCATGTCCCCCAAAAAGGCAAAGCACGTGAGCCTCGAACGCGCATGTAAGCAAAAACGCACTAGTAGCGTACGCGGGTGCAAGCCTTTCATCCATGCTTGGTCCCATCCAGGGATGCACGGGGCGGTTGCGTCTTGCACTCGGCCTTGTGCTTCTTCTTCATGTCGCTGGCTTTTTGAGAGCGGGTGTGCTTACTATTTCGCATATTTCGCATGCGTGGATGCAGTGCTGAGCGGATGCGCTTGAGCAGGCGCGCTTCCTCTTTCGCGTGCGTGGATGCAGTGCTGAGCGGGTGCACTTGAGCGGGTGTGCTTACCATCCCCCCCCGCCCACCCCCCCCCCCCACCCCCCCATGCGTGGATGCAGTGCTGAGCGGGCGCGCTTGAGCAGGTGCGCTTCCTCTTTCGCCCAGGGACCAACAACGACCTCAACTACCACAGGGTTCCAGTTCCCTCCGGGGATAGGCACCTGGGGCAGTGGGCCTCAATTTGTGGTAGCGGAGCGGGTTTTCTGCAGAGATCCAAGGGAAGATGTCGGAGCAGGCTTCATGGAAGCCTATACAAGTATGGCCAAGCCGAGCTATACGGAGGAAACACTGACCGCCAAGCAGCCGCCATCGTACGACGGAAAGTCAGCTGGTTCAGGTACGAGGAACTCGTGGACGACTGGGTGACCATCACCACAGTAGAAGCATCCAAGCGAGGTCCATTGCTTAAGAGCAGACTCACTGGAGATGCTTACATGTACAAGGCCGTCCTCCAGAATGATCTTTTGCAAGATCCTGATGAAGGAGTCAACTATTTCAAGAACACGCTGAAGAAGTACTTTTTGAAAGGTGCGACCAACGTGTATCTGTACAGACTCCTCAGTTTCTTCAATCATCGGAGGCAGAACCAAGAGTTCCTCATTTTTACCTCAAAATTCGAAATCCTACTTATGAGACTGAAGGCAGCATGGATGGACTTGATGCCAATCTTTACGGCACAGTCTCCATCATTTCGACAGTCCGTACAGGACGCAAATGCAAGAACAATTGCTCGACATCAGCAAGCAGCCGGTGTTCGAGCACCGCCTCCAGCCCTGCTCAATGAGGACGATCCGACAGTCCTCAGACAGTATCTCCAAGGAATGCAGGACAGACAGCGGGACGCATTTCCCTTCGGGGATAATCTCATTGCACAGTTTTTTCATTATTCAAAGTGAGTTGTCAGATCAGCAACGAGAAAGACTGACACGTGCAATGTCATTAAGAAACATCTCATGTGAGAATTATTCCTATGAGATGCTGAAGACGCATTACCATGAACTCTTCATCACGACGAGGACATCGATCCAAGATCCATCCATCCGACCTCAAGGAGGCAGCCGAAGCAACACATTCTTCATCATCGAACAAGGTGAATACGAAGGAGAAGAAGGCTTCTGGGTTGAGGATGAAGAAGGACTTGAAGGATTCATGTCAAACAACGATGAAGAGACGTTCTGGGTCCTCGAGGAGAACGATGCGTTCATAGCAAGAAAAGTGTCGGGGCGGAACTTCAAGTTCAAGAAGAGAAAAGGAAAAGGAAAATCAGGAAACAAAAAGGGCAGTCACCAACGAGGTGGCTTTAAACCCTTCAGAAAAAGCGGTTCTGGCGGAAAGGCCAATATGGCCAACGAAAACTATGATCCCTACGACCAGGCATATTGGGGAAAAGGCAAGGGAAAGAAGGGAAAGAAAGGAAAATCAAAATTCCAATATCCCTATGATGGAAACAAAGGTTATCCATCCTATGAGAGTGGCAAAGGAAAGAGCGGACAGGAGAAAGGAAAATCCAAGACGTTCGCAGCCACCGCAGAAAAGACGGAGGAGCAGCCCGCCATCCAGCAGACTGCACCATCCATAGAGCCTACCTATGCCGGTTGGACAGACCAAGATTGGGATCAATCATGGACATGGAATGAACAAGGCTGGTACTCATCCCATGAGACATCCAGCACAGGACAAGCGTTAATGGCATTCCATGATGCATATGAGCATCCTGGGAAAAAGGCCATCCACGAGAAGCTGATCCAATCAGATACAGTTTCAGAACACAATCTGTCCGTAACAACAAATCACAGCCTTCTGGCAACAAAGCTGATGGCGCCTGTCATCAACCCTCAGCACAACCCGACCTATGCGATTCTGGACAATGGATGTACCAGTGGGCAGCTGGCATACAATCCAGCGTTTTACCCAGGCGATCGAACCATCTCCTATGAGTACATCCCGGCCGAGACCAAGTTCACTTTTGCAAACGGAGAAACCGCCAGGGTAGATTGGACCCTGCATCTTCGATATCACACAACTCCTCCTTGCAGTACCAACATCGACGTCCTTGAACAAGGAACTGTACCGATCCTTCTCAGCATCAGCCAGATGCGGAACCTCTACATGACCATCGAGCACACACCTCAATGTGACAAGATCACATGCAAGGCCTTTGGCATGAACCGTCAAGCAGTTCCAGTATCCGGTACAGGACATGCACTCGTCGATCTCGCTGGAGTTGCAAGAGTGAAGGCGCAGGGAGAAATTGCTCACAAGGGCCTCATCAACTATGTCTATGACGATGATAACAGCATCAAGCTTCCCTCCGGGAATCTCACCAAGAGCGAAACTGTTTGTGCAGCAAAATCATCCGAGACAAAGGAGGACCTAGCAACTCCTAAGATCATTGGGTCTCAAAAGCAGGACCATTGGATCCTTGACAATAAGAACCAGCAGCTCATCCGTGTGCACATCAAGCCCCGAAAGGCGCTGTTCGCACCAAATGGAGCCAAGGAATGTCCAATCAATCCTGATCACATTAGCCGAGAACGTACCACGGAAATCATTGATGCATCCGCAGGTGGAGATCCAGACATTTGGGAAGACAATTGGAGACTTACATCCCAGGCAAATAAACCGATGATTAACCTGTGGAAAGACCATTTTCACCTTCTCGGACAATTCGCTTAAGGACGAAGAAGCAGGTTCAGGATCGGCAGCAGACAGGATCATCGACAAGAGGGGCCGGTCGACTATTGAGCCAGATCCTTTCGCACCATCTTCAGAAGAACCGACATCGCTTCCGCTTGCCCTAGGCAGAATCCACAAGCGATTGTCAAATCCCGAAGAGTTGAAAAACCTCCACCTGCAGCATCATCACATGACAACAGATCAATTTCGATTCAGAACCCGAGCACTTCATTTGCCGAAATCAGCATTCGATCTATTTGACAAGATCCGAAGTGAGTGTGAAGTTTGCCAAGTGGCAAAAACATGCACCATCACGAAGCAAGACAAGCGGACTTCGAGCGGACACCTTTGGTGACATGACATTCATTGATCACTGTCAAGTTCCTCTTGGAACAGGAGAACACATCATTGTTTTTGTCATCCTGGATGAAGCATTAGTTCTGTATTCATCCAAGCAAGAATCCTTGAAGGCTTCATCCACAGCCGCACTCATTGGCAAGAAGCGGAAGGAAGCTACAGCAACGGAAATAAGAGCTTATCAGAAGCAATTCCTTGAAGCCAAGAAGCTTGAGTGCAAATCATGGCTTGACAATGAAGTGTTCGACTTAGTCGATACCCGCAAGATTCAGGTCAGGAACTGGGTCACCGGTCGCTGGGTCCTAACCCTGAAGCGAGACAAGGATGGTAACTTCCTGAAGACCAAGGCTTGCTGGGTCCTCCGAGGCTTCCGAGACAAGCAGAAGAATGACCAGCAGACAGACAGTCCTGCAGCATCCAGGAGTGGTTTCCGCCTTGCAATCCAAGCAGCCTCAAATAAAGGCTGGAATATATTCCACATGGACTTGAAGACAGCATTTCTCCAAGGCGAAGCATACGATCAGTCTCGTGACATCATTTGTCAGATACCTTCTGAAATGGGATATCCACCACACATTGGAGCGCGCATGAAGAAGCCTGCCTACGGGCTGAATGACGCACCACGTCGATGGTGGAACATCCTTGATTCGGCACTTCGTTCATACGGACTAGTGCCAACCCGGGCAGACCGTTGTACATACGTGTACTACGGCAAGCAGCTT